TAACTGCAGTGAGGAAAATCAGCCAGCGCCTGTATCGACTTTCTACAAATTTAAGTTACAGAAGTATTATTTAGTTTTAAGCTGCAGAAAAGGCTTTTCCAAAAAAGTATATTTGCTTATATGGTTTTTATCTTATGGGGCTCCACGAGTCATTGTTTTTGGCTCAGTCTGTTTCACACAGCTCGGAACCAAGATCATCACCACTGCATATACTCATTATGATGCGCAACGTGGTTTTAAAAAAATGTTCGGTTGCTGCTATCTTTACTGTCTCGCCTGTACCACATTCTATTCCCCGATCTCCTCCTCGTCTCCATTACTCAGATCCCCTTCTTTGCTTTACTTTTTTCTTGAATTGTTTTTTGTCTGGCTTGCGAAAATGTTGCGACGGGCGTTTGCCGGTTTTCCTACACAATTTGCGCTGTGTCTAGTATTTTTTGTTCTTTTTTTAAAATTTTTTTTTTTTTGTATGGGCTTTGTTAATTTTTATTTATTTATGCCACCGGTACTATAATTCATTGACTCTCAGTATGCTCTGGACTACTCTGAATTGGAGTTCCATAAAATATGGCTTATTTATAAATTGTATTATGGAAGCCACGCTCATTTACACTTGACTAAGGCTCATTTGCCTGATTATAAATGAGTGGCTTCCACAATGGTTTGCAAAGTTCATAAAATCTCAATCGTCCTGGTGTTGTGTCTTGAAATCTTGTCTTCAAAAAGAGTAATTAAAATAAATTTATGAATACCCGCAGCTTAGAATCTATCATCGTATGACGGCAATATATTGTGTTCTGTTGCGGTTGTATGTACCTTGTCGCTTTCTCTCCGCCGGCCAAAAACATTTGTTTGATAAAGCCGTTAGATCGATTTATTAAATTGCAAAACATAATAAACTGCTGAATTAAAAAATGATTGGTGTTTAATGTGCATTAATATTATATTCATTTAATTAGCATTAATAAAATAGCATTTTGTATAGCATTTGTACTCCTTCATTGCCTTAAAATGTATCAACATTTTTCGCTAGTTTAAAAATAGATATTACAAAGCCGGCAGCCCGAAAGAGCAACGAGCACTTGTGACTATAATCCTATAAATAAAATGTACGTGTAGTACAAGATTTATACAAAATTAATTTATCTTTATTTGTCTCCTGGCATTGCAACTTTAAATTAAATTATAATAATATTAAATAAGGAAAAAAAAGGTACTTGTTCGATTGTTATTTGGCAGTATTGTTATTTTGTTCGTAGTTTTGTGCGTACGTTTAGCGAAAAACAGTTGAAGGTTGCCATTTGTTTTCCTGTGTCCTTCCAAATTTTGTTTTAAGTTAAAATTCAAACTTTTAAAACAGAAGGTTAAAGCCTTATTAATTTTAACGATATATTCAATATTTTGGCTGCGAATAGAATGTGTTACTGTAGCTTGATTGTAATCTAGAATAAATACTATAGTTACTGTAGCTTGATTGTAATCTAGAATAAAGACTGTAGTTCCTTCTTTTTTCGGTTCGCTTCGTCATCTTCTGCTTTTCATGCATATGTACGCCATCTGTTGAACTTGATATTTCTGTTTATGTATTTAACAATAATTCCGTCCTGCCTGCTCACTTAAACGCCCGCATTTCAGCCTCTATGAAAAAGTTGACGTCAACTTTCGTGCACTTTCTTTATTTTCTGCGCACTTTTTGCAATTAAGAAACTCAAAAATAGGCATGGGTTGTGGCCGTCAAATAGAAATTGTTGATGTCATCGTTGCGTTCTTTTTGTGGTTTTTTTTACACACACATCCTCAAACACTGCAAACAAGTTGGTGAGCAAGTCAATGATAGAGTGACTCATTGCGAAACTTTTTTCCGCCGGCAGAAGGGGAAATTTAAAGCTGCTTAAATATAATTCCATTTATATTTCGGTAGATTTAGTTTTAAACCCCACATATATATGCGCTTGTGTTTGTTATATACATAGTTTATTTTAGAAATACAAAAACATCACAAATGCAAACAATAAATTCACCGGCCGATTTCTTCCTGAGCTACCAACTAGAGTTTGGAACTAATAAAATTCCAAACAATAATCATGGCTATTAAGGTTCGCACAACGATAGTTGGACGTGGGGAAGGAGTTTGCGAGGTACCTATATATGGAATATTTTAAAATGCATACTACCTCATTATCGGTCATACTTGATTTGCAAATTTAACGATAATCCAGGCGATGAGTCATTGTAAGTAAATTAAATATATTTGAACTATGCCAAAAGAGCTCCCAAAAGACCAAGCTTAGTTTTTATGTTTTATGCTTTTTTGGTCTTATTCGTTTCAGCTCACTTTTAACCCCATTACGCTTGAGCAACAGTCCAAGTCAAGAGTCCGCAGTGTAGGCCAAAACGGAATTTTTAATGTACTTGATTGCAAAACTAATTTAAAAACAAAAAATCTCCAAAACGAATTCTTTAGATCAAACTTGGTTTGGATTTGCGTATCACTTTATTTTACAAAGAACATAGTATTGGGAGTAGAATGATACACACATTTTGAAAAACAAGTTTTTTTTTGGGACCTTTGTGCATTATATACGAAAGCATGTTCTAAGTTTCAACCTTACTGGCTATTAAGTTTAGAAACATATCCGATATATGTTGCGAATTCTCTACTTATATTTTGCACTGGCTATGTTGATTTTACTCGATTGCAAATTAAATAAGGCCTAAATAAATTCCCTGTACATATTTTTTCTTTGGCTAAAAACTTTTAACTAAATCAATAGAAAAAATAAATATATAAACAAACAAATAATCCTGATTGAAAATAAAATGCCTCTTGAAGTAAGTTAAGGTTATCAAAAAATTAACTATTTTTCCCTAAGTGCAACAAATGGAAGTCAGCTGGTCAGCTATTGAGCAAGTGGGGTAAAAGTGGGCAACTAGCAACAAGGAATTGAGAAATTGTAGGGGAAACTAAGAGAGTGGACCTGGGAACGGGCATCGACTGATTGCTAATGGGACCGGCTGGTGGCATTTACTGGTCAATGACATTTTAGTGTTTTAGAGCGCACTGCTTTTGGTGCTTCGAGTTTGTCTTTGCGTGATAGAAGAAAGTTCCGGAAAATTTTAACGCTACACTCACATTCCGTCCCTGTTCGCCATTCATTCCTCCCATTTTACCCATACTTGTGGTGGCAGAGACTAAAACTAACTAAAAGTCATTGAAACTTTTTCTTCCAATCCACTGCTTTTCTCATTCAATTTTTCCATCTTTGTTGTGACTGTTATTCCAGTTACTTTTCAGTCCGTAAGAGTCTCTAATATTTTCAAAAATTCTGATTTAAATGGCCACTTTTGACCAAAAGGAATCCAATACAAGTTCGGAAGAAAACTTCGACATGCCGAAGTTTATATACCATTGCAGCTTTTTCAATAATGAAATATTCTTTATTTAGATTTCAATGCTTAAAAACAATAAACCTAGTCGATACATTTTTCGATCGTTTCTATGGCAGCTTTATCATATAGTCGTTTAATTTTTATGAAAGTAAAACTAATTCTAAAATCTTTAAAAATGTATCGGAGCATTAAAACTACGGGGCTAGTTTGCTTATAACCGGACAAACGGAACCTTCCAAAGAAAACCTAACTAAAATCATTTAATTTCTTCATTCTAGATGCGCGGAAGGTCATAGTTGCTAATGCTTTTAATAACTAGTTAGTTTCTAGTTGTGTACCTTAAGGGGGTCTTCTAGTCTAGAGGCTCGAATTTCGACCTTTTTTTAACAATTAATAAAAAAACACAAAAAAAAAAAATTTTTACCATCCGTTTTTTTATCATTTGTTTATTAAACTTAAAGGAGTACATAAAATAAATTTCAAAAAAAAAAAATTAGTTTTTATTGAGTTATTCCTTTTTGAAGAAGAGGAAAAAAAAAAGAGGCCGTGTCCGCGTCGCCATGATATCTATGCTTGTAGTTATCTGAAAAATAAAACAATGATAGATTCTTAATGAGTACGAATGTCGCTATGGCATGAACCACCAAAAAAAAAATATCTTTTTTTTCATAAAATGGCGGCTACTCAAAGAAAAAAGTCGATTTTTTTCACTAATTTTTCCACTTTGTCGAATTTTTTAAAATATTATAAATTTAAAATTTGTATTTTTTGTTGGTTTATGCGATAGCGATATATTTAAAGAATATTCATGCCAAATTTCAAGTAAATCGACTGATTAGAACTTGAGTTAGAGTGGCGACCGCATCAAAAAAAGTAGTTTCGAGAAAAACGCGTTTAAAGCTCCAGTCGTTCCCTCAACCGGTCTAGTTGCCACGTCACTAAAACGGCTATAGCTTTGAAAATAATTTGAGTTTTGAAAAATCCTTTTAGGGAGATATTTGTGAATATAAAAACTATCGAATTAGAAAAAAAATTTTTTTTTCGATTTTCTCAAATTTCTAGACTTAAGCTAGCTTAATATAAGTAAATCAAATAAATATACTTTAAAGGCTCGGAAATGTGACCTTCATTTGAATGAAAGTATAATATTATAATACCCTCGGCTTAGTTGCTATTGGTGGCATAAAAGTAAGTTCAAATAAGTTCAGCTAACTTCTTTGTTGCCCTGGTTGTTCCCTTTTCACAAGTTCTGCAGTCGATTAGCCGCTAATATCATCATTATTATTATTATTTGTATGCATTCGTGTCAACCCCTGGGAATGCGCAGGCGACCTGAACCGAGTAATTGCAAGAGTTGAGAGCATGAAATAGCAGGGTGACGATTATGGATTTTCCAAAAAAGGGAAATTCAAAAACCAAGCCATCAGTTTAGATATCAGTTTTTAGAAAAAGTTATGTACAACCTTTCTCAAACATCGTCGTATTGGCTTTCCAAACACCTGTTAAAGATATGTTTACTAGTTCTTTCAAAAGTGCGCTGCTTAGAAGTATTAATGTTTTAACTTTTCCAATTAGTAGTTTTTCACCTAACCAACTTTTACATTTTTCAGGAAGAAGTTTACGAACCCCGGTTGCCGCCTCTCATTGATATGGAGAAAGTACTTGCTTCAGAGTGCTTCGATTCGGATCATAAGGGTGCTAGTAAGAGTGTCAAGCAAGAAGAGCTACCAGATCTCCTTTGCAAGGAGCAACTGCTGACGGCTTGGGAAAACTCCGTTCCACAAAAAGATCAGCCCGCTGAAGAGAATATATTTGTTAACAAATTTGTTCCAATAAAAGAGCAGATTGCTGCTCCCGAGGGACCAGAGCTATCTGTTGCTTCAGAGGGACCAGAGCTGTCTATTGCTCCTGAGGAGTCACCAGTAACCGCTGCTGTAGAGATACCGATTATTTCTCAGATTGAAAAAGCTGTGCTTCCGATCAGAGAGTCATTGGTGGAAGCTGTTCCAGAAGCAAAGAAGGAGGGGAACGTTGCTGCTCCATTGGCTGTCGTTGCGACCGTTGCTGGAGCTGCTGTTGCAGTTGCCGCTGCAACCAACCCATCTCTAAAAGCTAAACGATCTGCACCTAATGCAATCAAGAAGACCACAACGAGCTCCACTACGGTTTGTGCTGCCGGGGCAACCAAGCCCGCCGCTGCACGTCCACGCACCGCCCCCGTTGCAACCAAAACTACAAGTGCATCTACCAAATCTTCGCTTGCGGCTACGCCAACAGCAACCACCCGAAAACCACTAAGCAGCAATGCAGCAACTAAGTTAAGTAGCACACGACCAGCCACTGCTCCTGTGACCAAGGCACCTTTGGGAGCAAGGACCACAGCCAGCAAGACAATTGCAAATGGAACTGCATCAGCAAATGGATCTGGGAGCGGAGCTAGGACAACAGCTCGCCTTTTGGCCAGCACCGCAGCTCGTAAACCACCCACAGTTGGAACAGGACCGGCGGCTGGAGTCAGTGGAACAGCTCGCAGACCAGCTGCAAATGCCTCCGGGTCCGGGTCGGCTGCAACCAAACCACGCTCGGCCGTCACTTCTGCAGCTCCAGCCAAGCCAAATGCTTTGTCGCCACACAGCAACATTTCCGCTACAACCTCTGTACGCAAGGCGCCCAGCACAAACGTCACTTCTCTCTCAGCTCGCAGTCCTAGCAAGCCGGCCAGTAATGGATTGGGAAGGAGCACCAGCTCCACCACCGCAACCACTACAACAACAACGACCACTAAAACTTTCACAGCTCGTCCCGCTCCAAGGTTTACCCACTCGGCCAGCTCAACCAATAGCAATAGCACAACTCGCCGGCTGCTGGTTCCTGGTAGCTCCACTGCGCCAACGGCGGCGAATTTAAGGAAGTCATCGCCTATAAAGACAACGCCGGTAAAAACTGCTGCCAAGCCGCTGACACCAAAACCCAAAGAAAGCGCCACCACTAAGGTATTGCCAGCTGGATTAAAAGCGCGCAAGTCTACAGCACTAAAGGGAGACTCTCCAATCCGGGCACCAAGAGTTGCACCACCAGCTGAAGCTACTTTAACAACCAATGGCGGAATCAATGCTGAAAAAGCAAATAAGGAAAACGGCTTACACGATGTGCAGGAAACCCAGCCTCCTATTCAAGAGCAGCCGGATCAGGACCAAGTTGTCTATCCCCAACTCGGAGAAGTGTCCCTTTTGGACTTTTAGAGAACATCCCAGATTCCAGACCACAAAGCTGAAACTACTTTACTACAATTATAAAACATATAAGGTAAAAGTATATAGCGCGAACAAACAAAATTAAAACGAAAGAAAAAGCAACGAATGCAGCATCATACAGATGAAATTTAAATCGTACTGCTAACCAAATTATGAATTACTACTCATTGAATTTATTTATATTCGATTACATCTTCTATTTCTTGCTAAATATTTGAATTTATTGATTTATTTTATTAAAGTGGGTCCCGAGCAAAATTTTTTGTGCTATTTTGTCAAGAAAACGAATGATAAATATTATAGTGTGCTCCGTTTTATTTAAGAATTAAGATGTTTTATTTATTAACGCTCTGTTATTTTTGTTGCTCATGTGCTAAAAAAAATTTGTATTGAATAGCTTCAGCGCTTCGTCAAATGCAGCGAAGCGGCGTCGTTGAAATCGACAGAAAACAATTGTCATATTAAAGATCAAATTGAAATTAAAAATTAAGCAAATATGAGAAAAGGGAAAAATCTAAATTTATATTTAAACATTTTCGTGTAGCAACAAAAAGAAAAACAATTGATAATCGAAGTTTAACTGTAGCTATTTTCGGCGTCCAAACACGTATCTAACGAAAACATAAGATAAATAAAAAATAATCCAACAAAAAGAAAAGTAAGTTGCGCACCTAAAAACCGTAGATTGCTAACCAGTAAAAAAACTAATAAGAATCTGAATATTATACAACATGATGTATGTGCTTTTACTGTTTCTCCCAGTACCACATTCTTAGAGACACAGTAACTAGTTTGAGATTTATATGTTGCTTCATTTAAAAAAAACTATTACTGAAAATGAAAAAACCTTTTCATTATTTTTTATAAACGGAACCCAGTGTTATATTTAAATTTTGAAAGAAAAATGTTTCGTTTTTAATCACATCTTAAAATCCGTTATGCTTATAATTTTTGTGAGCAACGTCAATATGTATTATTATTTTATAATTTTGTTCATTATACCACACGAAACAAAAAACAACAGAAACAAAAGCATTGAATGTAACTTAAACACTCCCATACCCTCTCTCTATTCATATGTAATACATATTATGTATGTTTTTAACGAAATTTCCAATTAAAACAAAACAAACAAAAAATTCTTTAAAAAATACTTTTCATTTGTTTCATTTTTGATTATATACATTTATTTATTTTTTATTTTAGCATTAAATTTATTAATTAAATTAAAACGATATATTTATTAGAAGGAAATGATACCTAAGCTTCAACGACTCGAATTTATTGTAGGAAAAACCTATTTTGTCTGATTTTGAGGAAGTAAACACCAAACTAATAATTTTAGAGACTAACTTGCTGGGTTTAAGGTTTGCCTATAAATGAAATATACTTCCCAAACGTTAAATGGGTACCTATTGCTCTAGTTGTCTAGCTAGGTTTTGCCCAAATTTCGCCCCAGTGCCCTTCACTTTAATTTGCCTTATTTTAAGTGATTTTCTTACTAAGCTATATATATTATGATAATTATATTATATCTATTGAAATATGAGACAGATAGACTTATATAGCCACAAAAAAAGCAGCGGCAACCCTCAGAAATAAAACACAAAAAAAAACTTCACGGGCGCAATTAGTTTGTCTTAAACTCGTTCCCAATCATTAACTTCATTAACAGACTGATTAGGTGATTCATAGCGGACACTGCCGTTGGTACTGTGGATGCTTTTGGTGTTCTGCTCTTTTTCAATTGGCTTATACTTACTTTGCATTGAAAAGGAAAATTTATGTTTTATATAAACATATTTACGCAAGTGCATGAACAAGTCTTAAAAATTAATTTATTATTAATGTAAGTGAAAGCGGACAGTACTAACCTAAAGGACATCTACAAGAAATATACAAGAAAAATAAATACATATATAAATCAATAAACATCTTTCTATACCATTCATATATACATATATATATACATATATGTGTATATATATATATCAGACAACAAGACAAAAAATATAAAATACTACAAAAAAATGAATTACCAATAAATGTTAAATATACAATTCAATTAAAAGGCGAATCTTAAATACCTCGCTTGACTTTCTTTAAAAGGAGTCGGGTCTTTAAATAATTTCTGGGAAACCTCTGGTCAAAATCATTAAAGCCACTAGCAATGACAGCCCTTTAAACGCGTCACTAAATAAGGGCTTATTTTAGCTCTTATTTTAATGATCCACCACTATTCATTTGCATAAAAATAAAACTGGCGAGTGACCAAGCAGTAGAAGGAAGTAAAATGCTTAGGGAGGATACGATGCCATGGGAGCGCCGTACAGGAGAAATTAAATGTTTGCGTATGGAGGCGTCGTCGTCGCTGAATGAATCACTTGACCGGCGACATCGTTGGCCATGGGTAATGAGTCACTGACGGCACAAGCACCCTAAAAACACTTAAACCCCATACACTTACATACAAGCCTGGACGTGCCAGTAATTTTCAATTTGTTCCCGCACCAAATGCGTTTTGTATTTACCCTTAAAAGCACTTATGGACCTGAGTACATAGATTCAGAAATGTATATGTAGGTTTCAAAGCCCTACACGAGTATACTCGAAGAGGCCTTTAAATCACCTATAACAAAACAGCTCGAGCAAATCAGGCCACAACAATTTTCGATACAAAAAGCTCAGCTCCCAGGGTTTTACGATTCGATCCAAATTAAGGGCTTATCGGAATCATAGCTCGTGCAATAATGGACTCGAGTAACTCAATTTTTCAATCGGAGCTGAGCAATATCTTTTTTGAAATGCAATCTGATCAAAAAAATCTACCGCTGAAAAAATCGAGCATTTCCAATCGTCCGGTTATATGGCAGCTATAGGATATAGTCGGCCGATCTTTATGAAATTTTGTAGGTCAGATTAATTGGCCAAAAATAAATCCCCTAGGAAATTCCAACTATAGGATAAAAACCCTAAAAAAAATTCCAGCATCCTAACATCACCAAAGTTATGGCATTTCCGATCAATCATTTATATGGCGGGTATAGGATATAGTCGGCCGATCCCTTTGAAATTTGGTAGGTCGATACACTCTCTGTCATTCATCAAAGTCTGATGATGTTTTTAAAGCGGAATACGATGGCTATGAGACCGCTATCTATTGTTGAACACATTTTGTACAATATTTCAGATGCAATTGTACCTATGTATGTATGTATATTAAATATTTCGGGGGCTCGTTTTCATTCATTTTTATTTAATTTTCAAAGCACAGCAAGTTCTAATCGTCTCTATGCCGCAAATCGAACTGACCTCCAAGAACGCAGAGATCAATTTTACCAATCCCTTCTTTGCTCCTGCCTCTGTTCTCACTCAGTTGGCGGAATACGATCAGACTTCACACAGTAGCAGACTCTCAATTTCTGCTACTATGCTTCTTTCCCTTCAACTGCGCATTTACAATCCAAAGTTCCAAAATATCTCCCGCCTATGCGCCGCCTACTTTAAACGACGTTCTAGGAAATGCACTTATGTACGTACAAAATAATAAGCGAACATACACTGACCTACGAAGAACATGTACTTGCTCTCCGACAAATATATTTATACCCTTGCAGATGGTATTATAATTTTGGTCAAAAGTGTGCAACGCAGTGAAGGAGACATCTTAGACCCTATAAAGTATATACATATATTCTTGATCAGGATCGCCTCCTGAGTTGATATAAGCATGTCCGTCTGTCTGTTTTTACGCAAACTAGTCTTTCAGTTTTTATACCCTTGCAGAGGGTATTATAATTTCAGTCAAAAGTTTGCAACGCAGTGAAGGAGACATTTCCGACCCTATAAAGTATATATATTCTTGATCAGCATCACCAGGAGAGTCGATCTAGCCATGTCCGTCTGTCCGTCCGTCTGTCCGTCTGTCCGTCCGTCCGTTTCTACGCAAACTAGTCCCTCAGTTTTAAAGCTATCTGCTTGAAACTTTCCCAAAAGTTGTCTTTCTATTGCAGGTAGTATATAAGTCGGAACGAGCCGGATCGGGCGACTATATCATATAGCTGCCATATAACTGAACGATCGGAAATGCCATAACTGTGATGTTTTTAAAGTTAGGAAGTTGGGATTTTCTATGGGTTTTATTTTTGGCCGATCAGTCTGACCTACCAAATTTCATAAGGATCGACTGACTATATCCTATAGCCGCCATATAACTGATTGATCGGAAATGCCATAACTTTGGTGTTTGTAAAGTTAGGAAGTTGGGATTATCTATGGGTTTTATTTTTGGCCAATCAATCCGACCTGCCAAATTTCATAAGGATCGGCCGACTATATCCTATAGCTGCCATATAACTGAACGATTGGAAATGACATAACTTTGGTGTTTTTAAAGTTAGGAAGTTGGGATTTTTATGAGTATTAAGAATGCATCATATGAATAACCGATCCGGTTTTGGAGAATATAATTTACAGAATATTCTGCAAGGGTATATCAACTTCGGCTCCGCCCGAAGTTAGCTTTCTTTCTTGTTAAGATATCGAATTGAAACTTAGCACACACGCTTCGTTCCTTTGGACGCAGTGTATAATAAGAACGGCCGACTATATCCTGTAGCCGCCATATAACTGATTGATCAGAAATGCCATAACTTTTGTTTGTAAGGTTAGGAAGTTTGGATTTTCTATCGTTTTTTTTTGGCCAATCAATTCGACCTACCAAATTTCATAAGGATCTGCCATATAACTGGACGATAGAAAAGGCCTTAACTTTGGTGTTTTTAAAGTTAGGAAGTTGGGAATTTTTTATGTGTTTTATTTTTGGCCAACCAATATATTTTACAGAACATTCTGCAAGGGTATATCAACTTCGGCTTCGCCCGAAGTTAGCTTTACTTTCTTGTTAGTTTTGTTTTTGTTAGAAGCTACTCGAGCTGAGAGAAGAGTTTATGAAACCATATCTCATGACAGGAGTGGTTAATCGATGGTTCCATGATTCCGTGACCTATGATTCCAAAGCCATATACAAAGCGATCGAGCTCTAAAAAGTGTATTTATATTTCCGCTCCTATCACCAATCCGATCTTATCAAAACTCAATTTGTTAACATAACAGTTACATTACATTGACGAGCTCTTGATCTTATGTACATATATATTGTGTAAAAAACTTTAAGAATATTTTGTCGAGTCAGACAGGTTTCCCTCGCCCTTCCTTTTATCAGGATTACAAGACAAAATTACTTTAAATTTAAATAAAAATTAGGTTGTATTAAAATTCCACTGCTAAGTCAAATGTGGGCTCTTTTATTTAGTTTTAGATTTGTTGCTTATGCAAGCCAAAATCGCTATAAGAGACGGCTAGTACAAATTTGTATGTGAATTTCTTAACGACTAAATCCATTGCATTAGGCGACATGGGATTAAAGGGATTGTGGCCGTATTAATGTTACTGCACAACTTAAAACTAGAGCATTTTAGGTTTTCAAGCTCTAAAACTTTGCTCTCTTCACAAACGGTTTGCGACTAAATTCCTGTGCCGGACGCTTGTTAAAGGGCTTCTTGCCGAAGTTATTGTTCACGTTTTTTTGGAACTTGGCGGGGGCATAAGAGTGGCCGGTACCGGAACGTTTTTTCATCAATCTGTACCTTAAGTGTGAGTTAGGTTCAATAAAAATGGGCTGGTTGTTTACAATACGCTCGTTGGCCAAGAAGGATTTGCAAAATCCGTCGTCGTCAGTGAACTTCACTACAGCCTTGATACCCAGCATCTGGATGCTCTCGATTTTGCCGCTTTCTTTGAACAAATCTCGCAGGTCGGCTTCAGTAGTATCTACAGGCAAAATAAAAAATATATCGTATTTGTATGTGAAAATTGTTGGTGTAGCAACCCACCTGAGGAAAGGTTCGTCACCAAAATGGTCCTCGCCGCGGAATTACGTTCGAAGCGCTGCAGCTTTAGCTCCACATTATTAACAGTCTTTCCCTGGAGTTGGGTTAGAGCCTTCGTGGCTGCCTCCGAGTGCTTGAACGTGACAAAGGCCAATACCGACTTGCTGCACACTATGTCCACAAAGGCCACCTCGCCGAACTTTCTGAATATCTTCTCAAGGGCGTCGGAGCTAAATGACTCGTGTTTGCCCAAGTTTTCGACGACTAGGGTAGTTTCATTGGTATTCGGGTGATTGTCCTTGTACGAAAGCTCTCGCACCGTAATAAAGCGAGAGAAGAGCTCGGTGCTGTTCAGTTTGAGGGCCTTGGGGACGTCATCGACTGAAGCCAAACGTACAAAGGCTACCGGATTGGTGCGGTTGGCGGACAAAGTGACCGACTCTACGGAAGCTACCTTCTCGAAATTGGCCTTCACGTCCTCCTTGGTGACTTTTAGTCCAATCAGGCCAACCACCACGGTGCGCTCGGAGAAGGATTCCTTGTTTCTCAGCTGGGATACTTTCAACACATTGTCTTCAAGGGTTAGCGCCTTCGGCTTGGCCTGTAGTGCGGCTTCGGCACTAGCTGGAGAATCAAAGGCAATGATGACTGAGTTGACGCCTTCCTTGGTTTTAACACGATGCAGTGCGGAGATAGGTCCGAACTTTGCAAAAACGGCAACCACTTCTTTGTGTTTGTATTCTGTACAACATTAAAAAATTAAAGTGAAATTTTTTGTTATAATTTAGGCACCATAATAACGAAAATGTTACTGTACCATTTGGTAAGTTTGTGGCGTAGATGGTCTGATTCTTAGGCGTTCCTGGGGGAATTCTGCCAACGCGTATTTTTGGAATGCCGCCATTTTCCTCTGTTTCTTCAGCGGTCGATTTTCCAGGGGTTTTAGTTTCTTTGCCCTTCTTGGCCACTGGTTCCTCTACAGGTGACTCGTTATCATCGTCGGAGTCTTCATCCTCCTCCGCGGCTTCGCTCTTGGAAACCTCACCAGGCTCCACATCATCATCGCTATCGTCCTCGTCTTCTTCCTCAGCCTCGTCGTCAATATAATCCTCTGCTTCTTCTGCCTAAAATAAGAAAACCTTGGTTTAACTGCATCTTATAAATTAAATTAAAAAGTTTCTTTGCACTTTTTTGTTGTATTAATCTATTGTTTGCCGAAATGCGAAGTGTTTTATTATTTATGAACGCTTATCAATACCTCAGAAAACGTGGTATAGAAAAAGCTAAAGTAGGTACGTACTTATTTCGATACCCGGTAAGGATTAGCACAGAATTAAGATAAAATGGGATGAAAATAGGCACCCACCCACGTGAGTACATATATGTATGTATGTATGTACTAGGAAATAGAACACGTTTTTCTGGTACTCACCTCAGAGTCGCTGTCATCCTCAGCTTGGTCGCCATTCTGCTCCTCGGCGTCGGACTCCTCCTCGCTGGACTGCGGCACATCCTTCACCGGCTGCTTCCTGGACTTCTTAGCGGGCGACTGTGCGACCACGATCTCCTCCTCATCCTGCACCTTAGTCGCCTTCGCCCCACGCTTGGCCACCTGCTTCTCCACTCCGTTCACGGCCTTTTTGGCCTTCGCGGCTACGGCTTTCTTTTGAGCCATTTTAGCAGACTTTCGAGTATTAGGGGCACAAATAGAACAAAGTCAAGTACAGATTGGACAACGCGTGATTTCGTTGGATTGAAACGCACGTGGAAAGAGAGAGGCAGAACAGTGTGACCGGTATAGCTGCAAACCAAAATGAAGCCAGCACCGATTAATCGATTTCTCTGGATACACACTTTCCGTTTTTTAGAAATCGATTGGGGTATTCCCTAATAGGTTAAATTGTTTAAATATTAAGAATTTAACGAGAAACAGAAAGAACGAAATTCGATTTAATCTTTGAATATATGTTCTTTGACATTAAAATTTGTTGAAATCTAATAACTTGTTTAATTTTGTTTTTTGTTGTTGGGGACAACTAAACATATGCTCCCAAATATTAGTTCATAGCTAATAAAGTTTTTGAAGAGAAGTTTGCGCATAACTCGATATTGTTTATTTTATATTCTTTTATGAAGAACATAGCAAAATGTTACATCCGGCTTACAAAAAAAAGCCACAAAATACTTACAAATAAAAAATACCAAAAGCGCGCAACAATTTTAGTATTTAGCTTGGCTGTGAATTTTCAATTTGGTTGGCAGATAGTGTTGGTAAATGGCGGATTAAGTATACACATAAAAAATTAAATTGCAGCACAGCACCCGCAACGCACACATATATTTACTAAACGGAGTGCGACGTGTGCCAAAAAACAAGGAGCGGTGTATGTGCGGAGAACCAAAAAGCAGGAACACCAGCGAAGTAGCAGAAGCAGCACACAACCGCCAATGAACACACTGGGCGCGAGCACGAACGGAGGAGGCGGAGGAGCAGGAGCACTCGGGAGCAATGAAACCAGCACAAATGTGTCAGCTGCCGGATGCACTGGAGGCGGGGCAGCTGGGGATGAAGCTGGCGGAGATGCCAGCTCCCGGCGCCAAGCGACGCGGGTCTTCAAAAAGAGCTCCTCCAACGGCAAGATCACAGTTTACCTGGGCAAACGGGACTTCGTCGACCATGTCACGCATGTGGATCCTATTGACGGAGTCGTCTTCATCGATCCCGAGTACGTGAAGGACCGCAAGGTATTTGGTCAGGTCCTAGCCGCCTTTCGATACGGACGTGAGGACCTGGATGTCCTGGGACTGACGTTTCGCAAGGACCTGTATCTGGCGCATGAGCAGATCTACCCGCCCATGCAGCTGGAGCGTCCGATGACCCGGCTGCAGGAGCGGCTGATCAAAAAGCTGGGACCCAACGCCCACCCATTCTACTTTGAGGTGCCGCCCTACTGCCCCGCCTCCGTGTCTTTGCAGCCGGCTCCCGGGGATGTGGGCAAGTCCTGCGGCGTGGACTACGAGCTGAAGGCCTTTGTGGGTGAGTCCGGGTTTGGTCTTGTGGGTGTGTCCATGTAGGGCGGTCAGGCAATGTCAAAATCATCGAGAAGCGACTTCAACAATCGATAAAGGCATGCAATGTACGTATTTTATACATTCCGCACCGTACATATCATAGAACAGTCGAGCTTCGGTTAGGTCGACTGCAATTGCATTCAAATAATGTTTTTATTTGTTATTTAACTAGATCAAACTTTGTTTAAATATTAAAGCAAGTATTTAATAAATAGAAGAACGTGTGTTAAATCCCTATTTCATTTTGAGATAGTCAAATTCTTGATATTTCTTAAAATTTGTATTGAATACTTCTTAGATTTATTTTGTAAAAGCAAATGAAGCTAATAGAATGTCCATTGGTAGCGAACTAAAGTATTTTTTTGTCTCAGGGCCATTTAAGTTAAGGAAGCTCGACTGTAAATTGGTTATATGTGCGGTTTTGTGTAATTTAGCGCATGTGTCACGCGGTCGGAAACGCAGGGTTAATTAATTTAATCCAGCTACGTCGGGCTGCGCAAAAATGTCATTGGGCTCGGTGACGCAGCGACCTACCTAATAGAAATTCGAAGCTTCTAATTGGAATATGACTCTGGTGTAGTCGTATTACAGCTACTGTTGTTGTTGGCTTTAATTAGAAGCGTCAGTTGTACTTATATACCGACGTTTTATTGTTTAGTATCCGAATGTCGAAAATGATTGTGGAAAGCCTTTTAAGGTATCTATTGTCTTCTTATAAAAACCAAAATTTGCTTTCCTTGCCTTGAAATAATTATAGAAGGAAATTAACAAGAAAACCGGATTGTGCAGTTCATTGCGTTTTGCGGTAGTTACACGCGCATATTTGCGTTTTGCACGCGCATCTGCAATCGCACAATACCTACTTGTATTCCTACCCACTTATTTCCCGGGTTGAATAAATAAAATTATCTATTTCGTTTGCCTTTCTTTGTTCATAAATTTTTGGTAGTTTTATGGCTCCCGTTGGAAATTTTGTTCTTATTTTGTTTGTCTTATCTGGTGGCCAATTTGGGTACGGTTATAAAAAGTATAATGAAGAATCATCGATGCCCATTTGGTGTATGGGTGGTATTTTTTATATTAAAAAGATTTTTTTTTTATTTTATTGCGCCAACTTTACTTATTTTGGTACAGTGAATATCAGCAATAAAAAAAATTAATTTGCATTTTTTTTATTTATGAATTTCATTTAAGATTTTCACGCTTATTATTGCATACAAAGTGGTAAAATCACTTACAGCTAATGTCTTGTAGACACTTTTAACTCTTATTTACAGTATTTAACAACTAAATAGCGTCAAGAGTATTGACAGTTCCTTTTAAAGCATTGCAAAAGGCAGTCTATAATTTACTAATGCAATTTTGTCTATATTCAGTACTTAATATCAAATTATAAACTTATCTTTAAAATATGTAATTACAATTTTTTTTTCTTAATTAATTCCTAGCATGTCTTTCATACATATATTCGAAAAGCATTAATTAAGGGTATCCAGAAGGTAATATAATTTTAGTCAAAAGCTCGCAATGAAGGAGACCGGAGATGTCTATATATTCAGATCAACATCACCAGGAGTGTCGATCTAGCTATCTGTCTGTCCGCTTCTACGTAAACTAGTCTCTCAGTTTTAAAGTTTACATACCTAAATGCAAATTTCACAAAAGCTCCTATAAAAACAATCGGGGTAAACAAAAATATTTATCTTCGTTGTTTTTAACATATATATACTCCAAAAAAATTTAATTTTTTATTTTTAGAGACTTTTGTTTGATAATAAATTTAATCAATTTTTTTGCAGAATTGGAGTTGCAAGTGCTCTTAAATTTTTTTTTTTAATTTATCGTCTTTTATTAAGTGTGTATAAATTCAATTTGTAAATTCCAGTATTTTTGTTTTTATACACAATTCAGTTTTAGTCATAAACCTACTTTTAAATGTTTATTAACCGGCATTTACTGTACTCTAAAGTATATATATATACATTTCTATAGTTCCGAGAAACGATTTCCCAGCATTTTTCCTCTCTTTTCCCCTTGTGACGATTTGGCAGGAACTTTATTTACTTTGGCGTCTGCTGATTTGTTTATTTAATGTGCCTCGCTTCCATGTTTTTGCCATAAACAATTAGCTTTTGGGATTCATCTTGACGTAGCGCGATTTATGATCTTATGAATGAATAGCATTTCGATTAATTGACAGCAGCCAAAGCGATTGGAATTAAACCGCCCGTATAATGACGTCAAACATCTCTGGTTAATAGGTCCTCGTTTGGCGGTTCCTGGAATTTAAACCCATTCGTGACTGACTCATTCGGCCATTGCGGGGCTACCTAAAGTCAATGACCCACTTTTCTTACAATCGAATAAATGACACACTTCCGGTCGAAATATGCATACTTCATGGAATAATTCCAACAAATTCAAGCAAAGTAATTACTTATATTGTTTATCCTCGATAGGTGAAAACGTTGAGGACAAGCCCCACAAGCGGAACTCGGTCCGTCTCACTATTCGCAAGGTCATGTACGCCCCATCCAAAGCCGGTGAGCAGCCATCGATCGAAGTCAGTAAGGAGTTTATGATGAAGCCAAACAAGATCCATTTGGAAGCTAGTTTGGACAAGGAGCTGTACCATCACGGAGAAAAAATATCTGTCAATGTTCATGTGGCCAATAACTCAAATCGGACGGTAAAGAAGATCAAGGTATGTGTCCGGCAGTTTGCGGATATTTGCCTGTTTTCGACGGCCCAATATAAGTCTGTGGTGGCCGAGATCGAATCAGAGGATGGGTGCCAAGTGGCGCCGGGATTCACCCTGTCGAAGGTCTTCGAGTTGTGCCCCCTTTTGGCGAATAATAAGGATAAATGGGGCCTGGCTTTGGACGGGCAGCTTAAGCATGAGGATACCAATTTAGCGTCCAGTACGCTCATTACCAATCCTGCCCAGCGAGAAAGTCTCGGTATTATGGTGCATTACAAGGTAAAGGTAAAGTTGCTGATTAGTTCGCCGCTGCTAAATGGTGACCTCGTGGCTGAGCTGCCGTTCACACTAATGCACCCTAAGCCTGAGGAGGAGGAGCACCCTTTATTGGGAGAGCGATCTCCGCGGGCTAGTTTGGCCGGCGGTGGTCAGCCGCTTGTGAGCTTGGGTGACGGTGGAGAGTCAGGATCGGCGGCTGGCGGTCAGGACGTGCCCACCACCACCAATCTCATTCAGCTGGATGACGACGAGGCCCAGGATGATGACATTATTTTCGAGGACTTTGCCCGACTGCGTCTAAAAGGCGCCGAAACCGAGGCCTAAATGAAACAGGACCCATTATGTTTTCGGAACTTTAGATTGTCCGTCTGCAGGAAACATTCACACTACATTTGTATAATATGAAAAGGTAACAACAAATTTGCGCAGCCGCTAAATGTAAAGTTTTATACCAATAGCCACGGTAAATAGTTTGATGTAAGCTATTTGATATTTGTAGGCCATACGTTCTAGTATCTATAGGGATTAAGCTGAAAGTGTACGAATTTTAAAATGTGAAATTGTTTAACAAACCAACAAACCAAATCTACACACATGCACAAGCAAACTACACGTGCAATGTATTTCGGCCTCACCTGCAACAGTTGAAAGAATGCACAAAAATTATATTTATTTTTATCCAAAAATTTACCCCTTTTTATTTCATTATTTCTCACAAATTTAAATGCTCAATTTAAACACGCCAAAAAAATCGATTGACTTAAAGTCGTGACTCTTATGTTGGCCTTTTCGTCATTATCAAAAATTCATTGTTTTGCAATATATTAGGAGCTTTAAAGGCAACCAATTAAACATTTTTTTCAATAATACCTTTAGTTGATTGCAACGGAATAATAAACACACGCACAAAGCTCTATACAACGTTCACGCCAAAGTGTATAGAGTATTTTAAGTAAAAAATAAGAAGAAGAAAGCAAACAATTTGGTAATAAACTGCAAGCACTCCTTGTATAATTTTAAAAAATATTTCCATATATTTTTGTAAGTGTAACTAAAGCTCAGAATTATAATTGAAAGTGAAATATTGGTGTCACAGACACATTATTTGAATCAACCACTCCTTTCGTTCATTTGCCGAACACTTAAAAAAATCGTGGTGAAATGGCTACTATTATAATTTAAACGCAACCAAACAATAAAATGTTAATTTACAAAAGGGTGGTTTAATGGCCTCAGTAAATGGCTGATTTGTAATCAAAATGTTGTTTCATAGTAGTTTAGATAGTAGAAAGGATTTATCTTATCTATTTCAAAAAGTACTTTAGATATGGAAAAATAAATAAACAAAAATTAATTTTTTTTAAGGTGAATCGCCCTTTGAGATAAAGGAATTTTTGGTAGTTAACGTCGAAGTCTGTAGAAATATCTAAGACGCCTGCGTAACGACACAAAATCTGATCACTGATCTTACTATAATTGGCAATGTCCGAATCGAAATTCGTCAACGAAAAATCTAACACGACTAGGAAAGTTCGTAGATATACTTCTGAATATAAATACGTTCATAACATTTCCAATATGAAACCAAACCAACCATCTCGTTATTTGGTTCCTTTTATTATTGAATTTGGTTCCTTTCATTATTGAATGGATAAATTAATATATTGTATTTTAAGGCTTTAAAACGCGAATTTTAGCTTGAATTTATTTTAGTGCTTCCAAATCGCCCCATGCAGCGGCAACATGAGCACAAAAAAAATTGAAACAATGTTGGCATTGCCAGAAATTAACATATTTTAAAATGCATTTTTATAACACATATATATATTAATATCTTAACACCGATCTTATAGGTTTGTTAAAGAGTTTTTATTAAGTCAGAGAAGCAAGAAAATGAAATAAAAGAATTAAATTATCTAAGCGTGGATGACAAAGTGGTTAAATGGATACAATATGCTAAAAAGAATGCAGATATGTTAAAGCAATTAATATTTATAAATGTATATTCAAATGTGAACATTATGGCATTATTATTGTACGAGAAGATTTATACGAAAAGCGAGTTAAAAGCATTTAAATCTAAAGTATTCTGTGTATGCATGTCCCTTGGAACATCAACAATATTACTAGCTTATTCTCGAAATGTTCATAGAAAACGATTTGTTTTGCAGTTGAACTGACTGAACACAAAAATTGCCCCATCAATTATTTTGCAGAGCGTAATTTTAGTCAGATATATATATATATTTCTGATATAATAATTTGTGATAAACAAAAAACCAATTAAAAATACCAAAAAGTAAAAAAACTTAACTAAAAACCAATTCTTTGGGTAAATATTTTTCTTTCCAACAAAAGTCTAAAACTTTAAAATCGTTCTTTTATAGAATATCGGTATCAGCTAAAGTACTCAATGCAGAGTACAAACTTATCCTTAGTACTTGCTTAAATAAAATGGTTTCTTCCCAATAAAAAGTCAATATCCGCCAATGATTAATATTAAAGAAATAAGTTTTGATTTTGTTTTTAAAAGTCTATAAGTGTGCTGCACGCTATACCGTTTTATGTTTAACAAAATGCCAGTTTTGACAATTTTTTGTTGATGTGAATTGATGTTTCCTGTTAATCCAAAATTAAAAAAAAATCGTGGGAGAACAGCGTCATCAAGTTTATATCAGGTTCACCAAAACTTAGGACATCTATTAAAATAAATGCCTTAGTTGAGTAAACATATAAGCTTTTGTAAAATGTAATTATTGTGTTCAATGGGTCCAACTGCAATGTGAGAACTGCACTCTTAGAAGACAAAAGTCTTAGTAAAATTAATTTGTAATGTTTTTATAATACCTTTTTAAACATAGCATCTATATATTTATATAATTATATTGCGAGTTGAGTGGAAAGAACCTGCAGACCCTTTTGTCCCCTGCACAAGGAAGATTAAAAGGAATTAATATTATTTTTGAAAGCTTTTTGTCTGGTACCGAGTTGCATTCAATTTGATAAATGTTTAATTCTAATGCATGTATGTCTGTTATACAACTAGCTGATAAAAAGTTAGCCACCGTAGCCCACATGCCAATCGAGCGAACAAAACGGAACATGAAATCTATTACTACCGACCTATGACTAATCAAACGCAAAAAATGCAACAAAAAAATAAAGGAAACGTAAAAGATTGAATGTTGTTTGTTTCATGTTATTAAGTTCTGGTAAAAGCAAGAAAATAAGTAGGAATAAAGATAATGTTGCCTGGCACGGAGTTGTGTGAACGAGAGAGGGAAAGGGAACGTGAATGTCTGCGAAAGACTATTTTCGAAAAGCTTTAATCTAATACATGCATTGAACATACAAACATACATACATAAGCCCCATCGAAAAAATGTTGTAATATCTGTTTAAGTCCGTTTTTATCGTTACCAAGTCCCATACCTCCAACGTGCCCATCAATTAATTAAAATTCTACATATATGGGAATTATGCAAACAAAACCAATAATTAATAATTCGCTACGAAATTGCAAAAATAATTATGAACATCAATACTTTTATTTTTTCTTTTATTTTCCATGTTGTTGCACCATTTAGAAAATAATTAATTGATGAATTATTAAATAATTTTGATGTCCAGGCATGGGAACGAGGTGTGATTGCAAGTTTTTTAGAAAAAATGCGACTAAAAAACATTGGCTCTGTATTAGCATGAACATTTTAATGTTGATGTGAACTACTAAATAATTATGCAATAATAAAAAACGATGACAACTCAATGTTAAAAAATATAATGAATAATCAGTGTTAAACCGAGGCACCTTTTTATACCCTTGCAGACGGTATTTTATTTTCAGTCAAAAGTCATGTCCGTCTGCCGTCTGTCCGTCCGTTTCTACGCAAACTAGTCCCTAAGTATCATAGAAAAATCAGAAAATTTAAAAATGAAAAAATTGTATTTTGCTGTTTATGTACATATTTATCAAACAATTCCTTTGAGATATAGTAACTATTTAGTTTATCAGAATTAGGCTTATAGTTTTGTCAAAATCGGACAACTATCATTTAGCTGCTATAGAAACGATGGAAAAATGCAGCGCAAAATCGACATAGCTTAATTTTTATACCCTTGCAGAGGGTATTATAATTTTGGTCAAAAGTGTACAACGCATTAAAGGAGACATCTCCGACCCTAGAAAGTATATATATATCTGGATCACCTCCTGAGTTGATATAAGCATGTCCGTCTGTCCGTCCGTCCGTCTGTCTGTTTCTACGCGAACTAGTCTCTCAGTTTTAAAGATATCGAATTGAAACTTTGCACACACCCTTATTTCCTTTGCACGCAGTATATAAGTCGGAACGGCCGGGATCGGACGACTATATCATATAGCTGTCATATAACTGAACGATCATAAATGCCATAACTTTGGTGTTTGTAAAGTTAGGAAGTTGGGATTTTCTATGGGTTTTATATTTTCAATCCGACCTACCAAATTTCTTAAGGATCGGTCGACTATATCCTATAACTGCCATATAACTGAACGATCGGAAATGCCATAACTTTGGTAAAGTTAGGAAGTTGGGATTTTTATGAGTGTCAAGAATGCATCATATGAATAATTTTGGAGAATATAATTTACAGAATATTCTGCAAGGGTATTTCAACTTCGGCTCCGCCCGAAGTAAGCTTTCCTTTCTTGTTTTTAGTAATATAAAAATCGTTTACATTTTAGGAAAAAACTTCATTGGCCTTAAAAAAATTGGGATACGTACGAAGGAATGGTTGGGGATCATAATTCATGCATATCTACTTACTTAATTAATGCGCAACGGACTTTGGTTCAGCGCGGCGATTCAGATGCCTGGAGCAGAAATCGGCGCGGAAGGAAGTTGCCTTGAGTTAAGCGGACGGAAACCAGAATGTTGAAAAGTCATTTGTTGTTTGGCTTCACTTTGCAAATTTCACTTTCTCACCCGGGTTCGCTCCAGAATTCTTTTACAAACAACTTCGGCTGAAACTCGAATGGATGTACAGTATCCCGAAATATGGACACTTAAATGGGGGAAATAGCATAACCCTTTTTAAGAGAATTCGCTGTGGTTATGTCTTGGTTCTATGTCAGTCAGTTAGCCTGTGCAACAGTCGAGCAGCAGCTCTTCATTTCCTGTGCAGCTTAGAACCCGTGGTTCCTTTCCTACTCTTTCATTTGTTTTACAGACGAATGCTAGCACTCGCGACAAAATCTGTAAGCTTCCATCATCATCAACAAAATAATTATTTCATAAGGTCATCGAATCGTGCAAAACAAAAAATGGGTATATGTTAACATAATTATCTGATCACTTTATAACACTAATGGAGGATTTGGATTTCTGTTTGAGAGTGTGGACTTTACTTTTGTTTTCAGTGGAAAGGCAGCGACAAGTGCACAGTCAGCGGAAGGTGCTCGCCTAACCCAAACCAATTCAAAACAATTCAGTCCATCTCCGTTACCGAGTCGCCTTCTGTCTTTTGCGGCGACCTTTCCGTTCTCCCACTCTTGCTACGTAAACTGTATGGTTTTCATTTCCGGCTTCCGTTCCTGTTGAGTTACTTAAGCGGATTACAAGAGCAGCAGCAACCGAAGGGCCATGCTCAGTCAAAGGAAGCTGGAAAAGGTGAGTCCCAGCCAAAGAAGTCGAAGACCGATAAACCCTTCCTTGACTAATTTGTTGAATTTAAATTGAGATTTATGGACACTGAGTCTAAAACCCCGCAGTCATGAGCCATTCAGGCCTCGTTAGCTTAATTAACGCTGTCACTGAATTTCGCCATGCATCAGACCACTCCACTCTGTTTATGTGTTAAGTATATATACATATGTAAGTAAACTGCCAAATATCTTTGCTTGATTTCGTTTAATTTTTAAATAAACTATATACTTTTAAGGCTTGCAATTGGCATTTGCCCAGAGTTGAGCCTGGGTCTGGATGAAGTTTACCAACTCGACCATGCTCACGTTGGCCAGCAGATCGTTTACCTTCGGAACGAGGAAGTTCTGGTATAGGAAGTTTGTGACGTTGGGCTGAATCTCCTCGAGGGCAAGTGGCAGCAGAGTCTTTATCCAACGATTCCAGAAATTGTTGGTGGAGATGTTCCACAGGGTGTTCCAGTTGTCTAGTTCAACGCCAGCCAGATAGATTGTCTGCTTAAAGTCCACCATGCGTAGACCCGACGAATTGGTCAGGCTGTTGGCGAAGCTGTAGCTTCCTACCATGCGCAGGTCAAATAGAGCTTCGTTGATCACATCGTTCTGGCGTATGGGCAGCTTAAAGCCGCCCATGTTGATGAATCCATCAACCTCTGCAAAGCCTAGCAATTGAATCTTGGGGAAGAGCAGGTCGTAGGCGGCCTCGCCGGTTTTGCCATAGTCGCTGGCACTCAGGACCTGGAAGCTGTCCAGCCCCTGAATGCGCATATTGGTCACGTTGCCCACAGCGGTGAAGTCTTCGCGGGTGACGTTGAATTCGTAAAATGGGCTTACGATGGGGGCCAGCACGGGAACGTCTCCATAGCCGCAGGGCATGATGCTCTTAAAGGCCTGCAGAAAGTGGGACACCGCCGAGGTAAACTGCTCGCTGCCCGCCTGCTGTACTACCGGAGTGGCACTAACTGCGGTCAGACCCAGGAGGGCCAAGAGAAGCAGCTGTGAGGAAGAAACCATTTCGATCGGCAGAAGTGGGCTGGTTGCTGAACTGATAGTGAATATTTAACGATAGAGGGAATAGACCTTTTTATAGGCGAGTTGTTATCTTTTGGTGTGCGCCTGATGACCGATTCGTACGCTATTGATCGATTGCATATCTAGCCAATCGCAATAATTGGAACTTATGTCTAACCAGAGTGACTCATCTAATTGTTTAGGTTTGCTTGCCGTATTGAGGGCTTAAAAAAGGATTACAAAAAATTTTGGAGTCTACCGTGTTTTCGGAATATTTTATTGATTCGCCTTTGCTTGGTGGCGTTTAGAAAGGTGCCGTGATAGGAAATAATTTCTGTCTAAATCAGAAATAGCAGATCTTTTCTGTGAAATCTAAGCTCTTTTATTATCGCATTCATCAAATATCTACTTAACTGAATAATCCTATTCAAAAAACGTTTATATTTATTTAGAGGTGTTATTCATCGTCGGTTTTTCTCCATAGTTCTTTATAAAAATTTAATGGTATTGTTTTGTTACACTAATGCATTCTTCTAATTGTTCCGGATCACCGGTTCCTTTTTAATGCTGTACAAAATCAACACATATAGAATAATTCATTTTTGTAATAGTTGCATGGGCTTATAATCTTCGGTTTGTCGAAATTTGCGTCCCAATTAATACATCTATGTTAAATAACAGTCGTTCGAATTTTAAAAAAGTAAAATCGTATTTCTGAAATTGGTAAAAAATATGAGTATATGGCTATATGTTAGGCACCAACGATGTTATAATTTTATCTCTTTTTCGTTTGCAAATTGTTCATATGGGAGGAGAAATAGTAATACCTGCAAAAGAAAAAAAAGGACTAACTTGAAAATTGGTTAAGAAATGGATTTGAAGGCAGATTATAAAAAAATCAAACCACAAATCAGAGGTATGTCATTTTAAAATTGGATAAAATTTCTTAAAGTTATGGACTTTAGAATTGTGGGTCACCGTTTTAGAAGTCATCGGAAACTTAGAAAAAATGACATGAAAATTGATCAACGTTAAAATGAGAAATTTGCAGAAGCAAATTTCGGCAATCCTTGCTCCTCTTACAAAAATTTGGCAGGTATTTCATAAGTCGTCAGATTTTTATAAAATGAAAACCGTAATTCTGATATCGTAGAATCCGACAGAAGGTCGGACGGACATGGCTAAATTGACTCGCCTGGTGATGCTGATCAAGAATATATATACGGAATATATATATATATCTATATAAGGTCGAAAATGTGCCAATCACTGCGTTGGAAACTTTTGACTGAAATTATAATACCCTCCTCTTGCGCTTTTAGTTCAGCTGATCACCCAATGACAAGAAGAGACATCGATGGAGAATAAAAAAATTAAAAATGCGATACATCAAACTGTTTTTCAAATTTTAAGTACAAAATGTTTGAAGCTATGTTAAATCCCAACTTTGTAAGTAATCTCAATTTTAATTCGTTCCTTCCGATTTTCCGATAATATTTTTAAATAGTCAAATTTTCGAGTGTATTTCGGGAAGCGCAATTTTTTTAAGTTATAACTTTTTTTTTGTGAAAGCCTTTGTTTCAACATTTTGATTTGGTTTTGGTGCAGAAATGGAGTGCCAAAAGCATTGAAGCTTTGTTCGGACATTTCACTTGAAATGCAAAAGTGTACCGCAGGCGCCAGTTTGCTTTCTTTTCTCGTGTTGCATGGCCTGGCGGACCGGAAACAAGCTGCGCTCGCTCCACTGACGCCCACTTTCAGCCTCTGCTACCAACTTCCGATCCCACGCAGGTAACAAACATGTGTACCTAGCATGGAACAAAGCAAATGGAAGCCGAGCAGCTTCTGCATTGGACAGTTGTTACCGCTGGGCGTCTTGCCCGGTCTCAGTTCCAGGTCCAGGTCCTGCGTTGGTTTAGTTTCTGTTTCTGGCTTTGGCTCTGGTCCCAGACTTCCAACTTGCTTTGACTCTCCCCCGTCCGTATATGTGTCTGTGATTAAATAGAATGTGCGTTTACAGTGAGAGATTTTCATAAATAATGTAACAGAAATGTTCCCAGTGACATTGTTGAAATTTTCCGGTTTGGCATAAGGGATAATTTTGTAATTTTAGAACTAAAGAAATAATTTGCAGTACCATTTTTTTAAAAGTTGCAACAATATATATAATAGCAAATAGCTGTCAGGTTTTTTTAAAATTTAGTCACCCTAAATATATTTTCTTCGTCTTTGTTGATGTTTTTTGTCAGTGCTTTTGTGATTGAATGGACTTTGAGTGTAGTACAACACTCCGAGCTCACGATGACCACCTCACCATCCTGCCGTTTTACCATGCAAATGCCGGGGAAAACATTTTTCGGACACAACTCCAAAGGCGTGGATGTGGGTGAGATGGGCACTCGAACAGCTGCCGTCTGCCATCCGCCATTTTAGCCGGCGGACATCGATGATGAGCGCAATGTTCATAACCTGACCCCTACTCTTAGACGGTGTGTGTTTTCGGGTGGGGTTCGGTTTTGCATGCTAATTCCCTGCAGGTGAACACTGGTTGTAGACTGTGCCGTGCGCCCGGCGGCTTAACAAGATCCGTACTCCATTTCTCTTATATACACACAGAAAGCAACCTTATGCAATTGTGCAAATCGAGTTCTTCGCAAAGTCACCCTTTAAATCAGATGTTAAAAAGGTATTTGCGGACTTTTATGTTGGGCCTGAAAGAAAGGGATCTTATTGGCATTTAACAAAATCAAAAATTACATTTGATTTCTTAACATGTTACATTTTCTTGAGGGCAGTCTGCTTGTTAGCATTTCACATATTCTTTTTGCGTTTCAGATAGATTCAAACGACAACCGACCGCATTACCGTTTTCAGAATATTTGCAACCACTGATTTCGGATCTTCTCTTAATTTTCCCACAACAAAACCATGTACAAAGCCCACTTACTTAAACACACGGCTAATTGGCCCAAAGTGCGTGAGCTCCGCTGAGTGGCTGTTTTCGGTGGTGGAATGCTCTGATTGGGGGAAAGTAGGTGGAAGCAACGAGTGTTTTAAGTAGATTTCAGCTGGTCTAATATAAAGTGCGCTTCAAAAACCACATTATGACGACACCTTGTCGCCCTCAAGTCAAGGATGAGGCCTGCCATACCTAGAACGGCCTAGCACCGGTCTTCGCCTCTTTTCGGCTTGGTTTCGAGCTGTGCAACCACAAAACTTTTATCGTTTGTTTTTCCTTCCCTCTGCTCCCCTGGCCACGTGTATTGGCTAAATTAATATTCTCAATTGAAAACTTTTCAACAATAGTTGCTGGCAGAAGTTGTTCAAAGCCAATTACACTGTGAGATAAAATCCTTGAAAAAATGTAGAAAATCAAACTCCTTTTGCAATTGTTATCTCTCAAAAAGAGGATAGTAAATATTTATATTTATCTATAAATATTTAACTGAATTTAATAGTTTTTCATTTGTATATGTCGATACGTCAAAAACTAATAAATAAATAAACATCGCCTCGGATGTTTTTATACCCTTGCAGAGGGTATTATAATTTTGGTCAAAAGTGTGCAACGCAGTGAAGGAGACATCTCCGACCCTATAAAGTATATATATTCTTGATCAGGATCACCTCCTGAGTTGATATAGCCATGTCCGTCTGTCCGTCTGTCCGTCTGTCCGTCTGTCCGTCTGTCCGTCTGTCCGTCTGTCTGTCCGTCTGTCTGTTTCTACGCGAACTAGTCTCTCAGTTTTAAAGCTATCGGATTGAAACTTTGCACACACCCTTCTTTCCTTTGCACGCAGTATATAAGTCGGAACGGCCGGGATCGGCCGACTATATCCTATAGCTGCCATATAACTGATTGATCGGAAATGCCATAACTTTCGTGTTTGTAAAGTTAGGAAGTTGGGATTTTCTATGGGTTTTATATTTGGCCAATCAATCCGACCTACCAAATTTCATAAGGATCGGCCGACTATATCCTATAGCTGCCATATAACTGATTGATCGGAAATGCCATAACTTTGGTGTTTGTAAAGTTAGAAAGTTGGGATTTTCTATGGATTTTATTTTTGGCCAATCAATCCGACCTACCAAATTTCATAAGGATCGGCCGACTATATCCTATAGCTGCCATATAACTGATTGATCGGAAATGCCATAACTTTGGTGTTTGTAAAGTTAGGAAGTTGGGATTTTCTATGGATTTTATTTTTGGCCAATCAATCCGACCTACCAAATTTCATAAGGATCGGCCGACTATATCCTATAGCTGCCATATAACTGAACGATTGGAAATGCCATAACTTTGTTGTTGTTAAAGTTAGGAAGTTCGGATTTTTTATGAGTATTAAGAATGCATCATATGAATAATTTTGGAGAATATAATTTACAGAGTATTCTGCAAGGGTATATCAACTTCGGCTCCGCCCGAAGTTAGCTTTCCTTTCTTGTTGGCCAATCAATCCGACCTACCAAATTTCATAAGGATCGGCCGACTATATCCTATAGCTGCCATATAACTGATTGATCGGAAATGCCATAACTTTGGTGTTTTTAATGTCAGTTATTTCTAACTTGACTTGTTTAACTTTGACCCAAAATTGAACTTCGAGAGTCCATAAATTTACCAAACTTAAGCCGATTCCAAAGTGGCATACCTCTAAAGACTTCTGATTCGATTCTCTAAAAATCTGCATTCAAATTTTTATACCCTTGCAGAGGGTATTATAATTTTGGTCATAAGTGTGCAACGCAGTGAAGGAGACATCTCCGACCCTATAAAGTATATATATTCTTGATCAGGATCACCTCCTGAGTTGATATAGCCATGTCCGTCTGTCCGTCTGTCTGTTTCTACGCAAACTTGTCTCTCAGTTTTAAAGCTATCGAGTTCAAACTTTGCACACACCCTTCTTTCCTTTGCACGCAGTATATATGTCAGAACGGCCGGGATCGGCCGACTATATCCTATCGCTGCCATATATCTGATTGATCGGAAATGGTATAACTTTGGTGTTTGTAAAGTTAGGAAGTTGGAATTTTCTATGGGTTTTATTTTTGACCAATCAATCCGACATACTAAATTTCATAAGGATCGGCCGACTATATTCTATAGCTGCCATATAACTGAACGATTGGAAATGCCATAACTTTGGTGTTTTTAAAGTTAGGAAGTTGGGATTTTTTATGAGTATTAAGAATGCATCATATGAATAATTTTGGAGAATATAATTTGCAGAATATTCTGCAAGGGTATTTCAACTTCGGCTCCGCCCGAAGTTAGCTTTCCTTTCTTGTTGTATGTTATTTTACTTACCGTTTTTGGACAGTGCATACTAGCGGAGGCACCGCAAAACTTTTGCGTGTGGTTTTGTGTATTCCGATCTAATAAGTCGCCAGCTATCTAACAATTCAAATCTAAGAAAATTTCAAAATTCAATTCTCGCTGAAGGGAAGCGGCCAGAGAGGACAACAAAAGCTCACCTCATATTCATTTGAATCCCTTGCCCCCGCGCCAAGCAACCAGAAACCCACCCATTTGAACCACTCAGAGCGACAATCAAGTGAACAAACATTTTTGAAAAGTTGCTTGAATAGATTATTAGGAATTATCAAAACTTAATTTAGCTTAAGAGTGCTCAACACAAAGGCGGCCAACGGGCAAATGCGGGTGGCTAATGAATCACCAAAGGGGTGGGGCATTGGGCCACAGTCAGGTGACAAACAAGCAGTGCTACACCACTATAAAGGCGGCGTTTGAAGTGGTTTCCGTTGGAAAACTTTCGACGTGGAAGCCCTGACAAGCCCATTGATCTCGAGAAATCTTTGTTGTGGACCCCGAAAAATTCGTCTCTATGAAAGTTTAGCACAGGCGAATTAAACGCTGACATAGGACGTATTAGAAATGGCAAAGCACATACAAATCTAGCAACAAAGCCTTTAAAGTTGGTTTCGTAGTTAGTAGCGGCACGATAAACATATTATTTTTATTTTCTTCCAAGGCGTTGTTCTTGCTGTTGATTTGAAGAGATGTCTTTACTGTTGAAGAGCTGCCATTACAAACCTCCTCTGGCGAGCGGACGTGAAAACGGACATGGATCGTTCTAATGAGGTTGCCCAGGTGGTATGAAGTGACCAGCTGGGTAATCGGGTTCAATTAAATCAAGCCAAACGACTCCGGCAATTTGAGCGTTCCAGGCTCTTTTGTGTCCCAAAGGACATGAAGCTATCAGCGATATAGAGCGACTCACCGTCAACTGGCAGTCATGGCGACCTTTTAGCCCATTTTCTCTTTTCTCAGACCTCGCCATTTAACTCAATCTGGTGTTAATAACGTGGGGCAAAACTTACTGCGGAACAGTGAAAGAAATCGTAGCAGCAGGAAAGAATACTTGAGTTACCTTTACCTTGTCCTGGTTCAAAGTCGATAATCGGCGGGGCCAACGGATGTCCAATTAGTTGTGTGCCAGCTTCCGGCTCCGGCCCTCATCCTGCATTTCGTTTTATCCACCACCCGCTGGCTATCCTCGCCAGGTTTTCCTCCTGTCAATGGCAGCAGCTTCGACTGGGATTGCGATTGCCAGTCGGTGCCCTGTTCATTGTTCATTGTTGTCAGTGGAGCGCCGATGGCATAATTTTCGGGTTTGCTTGCCAGTCAATTGCCAGCAATTTGCATAGATTGATGGGCATATACATATGCGCCAGGTTTATATGCCGTACGGCTACTGCCTCTCCGGCTACCTAATCAATGCCGATTTGTGCCTTAAAATCCTTTTTCGGATTCTGAAGCTCTGACGCGCTTATCGCGGAAAAAAATTGAATAAAGGATTTACGAGCTTAAATTGTGGCAGATCTTAAGCCTTGTTTGTGTGTCTACTGTGTTTAGCACACTGGAACAAAAATATAAATGTAATTTATTTATTAACAACGCCCCGATGGATTCAAGTTCGAAAACTTGGATTTTATATTTAACTAGGCTTATTGACAAAAGTAATAAAAGTAACAAAATAAAAGTAAAGGAAAAATATAGAAAGATCATAAAATAGATCACATTTACATTTTCCTCAATACATGTCTGTATGTGCGGGATTCCTTCTTTTCATCGGTGTGTGACCGGAAGCCAAGCAATAGCAACATGTGTAAACTTACGGCCGCCCAGCACAAAAGGCGAAAGGCTGGAAAATCTATTAGAACGTGTCTCGCCTGCCAACCCGCTACTTGACTCCCTCTGCAGCACTCCCACTTGCCCGCTGCTCTACATTTCGTTTATATTTTACCCGGGGGCATAATAGGATTCGCTTTTCTCCTTCCTTTTTTATTTATTTCGACGTGCTTGTGTGCGACGCAGATATTTACTTATGATTGAGTTGCGTGGCAAAGCTAATGCAGAGTGGAAAAAAGGCAATGGCAACCCTCGAAACAATTTGGTAAGAGATTGCGGTTGTTTTACTAATTTTCTCACCCAAAAGGGTTTTCCTTGACATTTTCTTTTCCACTGCGCCGCGTGTGAGATACAAATTCAAATTGATTTTGCATTGTTTGACTGTCATTGTAGTTGCCCGCAGTACTAGCGGTTGCTGCCCTGTTGTTGATACCCTCGGTGAACACTGAGCTATTTCCGGCCGGTTAGCTAAGATTATTAGATTATCATTGGGGACCTGCTAACGAACCATCGAATGAAATATTCAAATACTCACACTTTTCAAAATATAATTATACCTGTTTATTCGGGTATCCCATTAGACCAATTTTAATGTATTTCGTTTATATTCCGAAATCATTTGATTTTACATTAAATTGTTTTATGGTGTTAAAGCGCTGTACTATTATTCCAAAATGCCTAATTTTTTGTTTGTTTCCACTTGTGTTGCTCTCACAAAGTGCCTATCGTCTTGTTCGTTGATTTTTCGCTTTATTTGGTTTACAGCACCATCAGTATCTCAACTTCTTTTTTGTTTCAGCCTTTTGTTCCTTCTAAGATTTTTAGGTGTATCCATGTCAAAAGTCGAGCCATTGCACGTGTATGGGAAGCCCAACTGTCATGTGTGTGGGTGTGCTGCGAAGGGTTATGCCGAATGGGAAGAGCTGTTATTCTTGGGGCTATGGATTGGTAATTGAATTTATTGTTTGACACTCAAAGTACCTTCGAGTCAATTACCCCGGAAAATTGGTATCAAAATATTTACGAGCTGTTTATTGCATTACGCAAACTTGAGGCTCTCCCAGCAACCCCATTAAAATCATCATACCCAAGAAACCGAAAAAAAAATGAATTTGCAAGTTCAACTTTTGGCGCCCGATAAAGAATCTGGGTTGTTGGCCGTGTGCATATATTTCTGAATTGAGTTTAGGAGGAGTTAAATTGCCAAGGTGTAAAATGAAACGTCGATTGTATCCCGGCAGGGCTTTACTCATTATAAGCTAAAAAAGAGGTGTAAATTAGCGTTGATGGTGGTTATGGGGCTCTTACCTGTGTCCTTATCGGCCTCGCTGCTGACCAGTTTTCGGTTCAGTTCAGCCAGCTCCAGTGAGGCACTCTCAAAGCCCGGCAAACTCTTCTGGCAGAAATAGCCGTTCCGGAGCTGCGCCGGCAGGTGCTTGAATATCAGCTCTAGACTTTGGGGATGGTCAGCCAGACGCGAATAGACCCGAACCACGTGCTTGAGAACCCTTGGCTCTGGTTCCAGCGTCAGTTGGTGCACAACCCTGGCCAAAGTGTGAACCAGATGCAGCCGACGTGCCAATCTACGACTAGCAAACTTTAGGCCTACTTCGTGTTCCAAGATGCGGTACAGGATAAATGCACAGAGCACCTTGCTCATGCTGGAGCCCAGTTCCAGCTGACGCAGGATGAGTGGAATCAATTCGGTGCCCAGAAAGTAGCCCACGATCTCCGGGTGATCCGACTTCAGTAGACCGCAGACGACGCCCAGAACTGAGAGGCGAACGTGCTCAACGGATTTGGTTTGTGGGGTCATTTTCAGCAATGGCATCAAATAACACATGAATTGGCAGTTGAATGCCAATAACGGGGTGGGAGGTCATAGCCTGGAACAATCCGATGGCAGCGAGAATCCGCTGCGACTGCTGTCCGCTCAGCTCGTTGGCTAGGATAGCCGGATAGATGGACACAACCTCTTGCAGCAAGCCACTTACAGCTCCAAAGGAGTGCCACAGCAAGGGACCCAGGCTCTCGATGTGACTGCGTCTGTCGCAGAGCTCCAACATAGCCGAAAGGCGCTTTTCCTTGCAGCAAAGATCGGTAATCCAACCGTACACATGCTCTGTCTCGCTGCGCTGGTCACAATCGGAGTTTGGGGCACTCATTGTAGTACTAGGTCGAAAGGAGAAGTTTATTTTCCAAATCAGTGTCAGTCTTTTTGATTAGAAACACCCGTTGACTGGCCTGCTGTATAATTGTAAGTCTATGAGTTGGGATTGTTTAATAAAATAGGTATGTTTGTTTATTGTTCGACACTTCTTAATTGTTTACCATACAAATTATTCTGATCTTGTTTGGTTAATGTTGCCAATTGATACCATTCAAATGGCAGATATTTAATTTATTTAATGTATATTTAATTTGTTTAATGTAAGAACAAATTGCTTTTTTGGAAACTGAATTACTCCCTTGTTTTTGAGTTTTAGTTTTTTAAAATATTTTGCTTTAATCGTGCTTTTGGACGATTCTCAGACAAACTTATCACCATTATAAACCATTTCTCGGACCGAGTCATCACCATTAGACGCCATCAACTGACCCATTTCTCAAACCGTATATAACCCAGGCGACTGTTTGGCCATCGGATAAACGAGCTGATGAGTTGCAGTTAATTAGACCAACTGCATTCAGCTACCGAGAATACTACAACAATGGGCCAGGACAACAACTAAGCCATGCAATTAAATGCAAACAGTTTGCAATAATTTATGAGAGGTGACGACCTCGTCAAGAGTAGAGCGTATAATGCAAAACGGAAGCGGAAATCTGTTTCGGACTTCTGCATGTATGGGTTTGAATGGGCTTCTATGTGTCCGCAGCGTGTTTATTGGCAGAAACTCCATTATTGGAAGAAAAACTTGTTGACCGGTTATTAGCACAAAATTTGCCTTGCTAATATGGGCAATTAAAAACTAAAAAAAGAACACTTAAACCAATAATATGGCAGCGATAAACACATTTTCCTGACAATGCCGTCGGCCAGCTGCGGCAGTTCCCAAAAAATATTTGCATATGCCGGCACAATGTATATAAATTAAGTGATGCATCACAATTGCATTAACAAACAAGTGCGCAGACAGCTCTTTTTTCTTATCTTTTTCACCGCTACCACCGATCTTTTTGTTTGGCCCGAATTATGAAATGCATTTTCTGGCTAATTAGGTACGTCAGTCGCAGTTTAAAAAACCGGGTGCCGTGCCCTTATTAAGTGTTTCACATCGAATTGGAAATTGGTAAGCTTCACGCTACACTATACACAAAAAATATGATTCGCCAAATTAAATTAATGCTTGCATTAATATAAAAAATATGGCGTCACTGCTGTCGATTAAATTATTACAAAATTATTTCAGAAGTTAATAGTATCGTCAGATTTTTTTTAATTTTTGTGGAGATAATTATTTTATGGTAACGAAATTTTAAAAATTTTAGTTGTGTTGCTAAAAATATCCGCTACCAGCATTTAATAAATTATATTGTCTGCTGTGTGTGCACAAAATAATATTTCACCGCAGGAAAACAATCAAGGAAAGGACAAGGCCTTGGGCAAACAATTAAACAGGCTAACAAACTGATATAGTCACTTTGTAATTAGCTAATGTATGCCAGTGCCCAGCATCAAACATTTTTGGTATGTAAATTAATTTGGCTCTCCCTAATTAATTTGAAAAACATTTTAGTCAATTCTGTTAAAACACAAAGAAATCAGAGCTCTAATTTAATATGTAAAATGTATTTGCAAATTTGTATTCGTTAATATCAATAGATAAGAATCTAGTTATTAATTTCATATCACAACCAAGGAAATACCTAAAGTAAGTAATGCAAACAGAGGGGAAAACTGTCAGTTAACGACCTTTCTCTTTACTCCGATTGTCAGAAAGCCTGAAGCAAACATTTTGGTCTGATTTTGAATTTTTTGGGTTTTATTTTGCATTGTATGAGTTCGGTTTTTTATAACATTCTGTTTTTGGCAGTTGGACAAATTGCCTGTCTGTGTAGCAAAAATAATCAGCTTTGTGTCATTTTTTAAGTTAAAACCGTTGAAAGCTGAGACTTCCGCGACGAGAAGAAGCAAACTGATTTTAAAAATTAATGCATAATGCATTTGATGTTGAATCAATATGCTGTTATCTTTTCGCTGAGGTTTCTCTCTCGGACTTTTTAATAATGTTTCCCTTCGGCTACTTGGGTCTGCCAATGCGCACTCAAGCGTGCAAGCACATATGAGCCAGAGGAGTGGGGCACCACCCTCGCACCACCCTCGCACCACCCTCGCACCACCCTCGCACCACCCTCGCACCACCCTCGCACCACCCTATTACTTGTGCTTCACTGACCCACAGGCCGATTCAAAAGCCTGGGGTCACTCTTTATGTGGTGGGCGAAAGCTTAAAAATTAATAATTCAAAGACTTATGGATCAAGGGCCGGACCCCCGGGAATTGTTCTTTAAACTGGAAATCAAGTTTTATTGATTTCCTCGAAAAGTTGAATGTGAATTTAATTAGTTTGTTATATGCAACTAAACTTAATTTATATATACAAATACACATTGTATGTAAACTGCCGCGAAACTTGTCATAAAGTCGTTATTCATAAACGTTGAAGAAGTGTGTGATTACTGCAATCATTACACATTAATTTTCAGTTTTCGCCTAAAACTAGCTGCAGGACCAAGGTTGGAAAGCCTGAAAATACTTCCCGAGAATTTGGCTGGAGCCTTAATTTATTTAAGCAACCGAGGCACATCAATCTTCTGCAAGCTTGTGAGAAGTCTCCTTGTGGGAGTGTATCTGTGAGATCCGCAGCAAGGCTTCTAATTCCATATAAATGTGTGTGTGCGATCCATGGGAAGCTGTAACATACGCTGCCATGGTTTGTTGAATTTGAGTTTAATGACGTGTAAAAATGTTTTCACGGCTTTTGATTATATTTTACCTTAAGCGCCGCCAAAGTTTGGGGCCTTACCCGAACGTGAACGACATCCCTTCCGTTTGCCATTTGCAATGAATAATGGGACCGTCGTCCTTCTGTTTTGCATATGAATACCTTTCGGCATCATCACTGATTAGCAGTGGCGACTGACAATGGGCGCCACTGTTGTTGTTTGGTGGCAACGGAAACATTTTAATGACAATCTCCACCTCCTTGCGTCTATTAGCCTCCGCCCAACTGTCAGTTATCGTTTTCAAAATTTTGCCATACGTAGAGCAGACGCGGAAAGTATTATTGGTGGGGCAACGCAAGGTTTGGCAGACATTGTAACCGCGTTTGACTTAATTAAAGCTTGGAGATGTGCGTTTGCAATAATTTTAATTGCTGCACATGGCAAAGTTATGCCGATGACAAACCTATTAAGGTTTTCCAATTGTGACGAAGGAAAAGCCGAAAGAAAACCTGAATTTTTGATAAAAACCGTGCTTCTAGAGCCCTTAAGTTAAAGGTGACCCTGATTTGAAAGTGTAATAGCTACTGAGATTTTTACATTTTTCGTAATTTTGATGACCACAGATATTAGCTATTGCTAGGTTATGGTTTGCAGAAAGCTGTCCAAAAAATTGCAAATTGCTATATTTCGTTGGCTTCATTGAGCCTAATTGTGGAGTTAGTGTAAAGTAAATAATGTTTGCTTGCCAAAGTAGCCCCATTCACATAGCTCAGCTGGATGGGAAAATGCTGTTGGCAAAGCCAAAGTTAAGCACAAAAGTTTCATGTTGTAAACAAAACAATGCGAACTGTTGACAATTGTTCCCAGGCAGCTGAGCATGTTTGGTCCGGACACTGCCTTCCCCTTTTTTTGCTTCGACTTATTTAATACTCGAGTAAACCTCTAAAAGAATAAAAACCGCCAGAAACAGAAAAAACAATGGCACAAAGTCATGGAAAATACTTAGTAAATGGTTAATACGTGTTGTTTTGTACTTGTTGCATTACAGTGCCACTTGCCACTTTGCTCGACTTTTTCTGGCTCCTGGGTTTATCCGTTTTGCTTTTTCTTGGCTGTATACAGTTTTGTGTAGTTCTGGGCCAGCCGGCACAGGTGATATTATTGACCAAAGTTAAACAATTGTAAACAGTTCCGAGTCACAACAATTGCGACACGTTTTAGTTTACCAACTCGCTATTCCTGGCCGGGCTTTTGTTTTATTGCTGTTGTTTGGTATAGCTGAACAGTTTTTTTTGGTAACAGCCTTCTAAATCCATACCAATTAGACTTGACTAAACTTTGTTTTTCGCTTTGGTGTTAGTGTTTGAGATAGGAGCATTGCCTCAAGTGAAAATACTATAGTGAAAGGGTGGCGAGGCAAATAGGGAATTTTATTATTGAATACCGCTAAACTAAATAAGGTTTATGAGTCAGTCAATTTTCCCCTAGTCAGTCTCGCAAAATTGTTATCTTATGTGTTTCCTATTTCAGGGTGTCTACTGTCCTTGGAAGCCAATTTCAACTCAAATAGGTTACTTACACACCAACTCACCTAGAAACAATGCCAGCCAGGTGAATTGGTTCATTAATTTCCACAAATGAAGCAACTGCAAATCCATTTGCCAGCTTCGGTAATAATCAACAAGCCATTCAGCAGATAAAGGCAGCTTAAAATTTCCAATTTCCAGTTGCCATTCACCACACACATACGCAAGCAGTCCTTTTTTGCCGCTCCAACTGTGACCAGGAACAACTTATTGCGGTTACAAATTGTGGCAAAAGCTATCAATGATATTATCAACAGATGGACAGAGCGACCTAAGCGAACCGAACCGAACCGACCAGAACGTACATATGCAAGCCCAATTACATCCGGTTGCAGTTTCAATTTCAATTTGCGTGGCCGGCGAACAATGGCCAATGGCTGTCTGGGCCCAAAAAGGACCAGAGGACAAAGCAGATATGCCTGAGGCGGCCACTGCTGCAGCTTGGCATAATATTAATTTAAATTAGACAAAATGTCAGCCCCCTGGACATCGTCGGCAAGCGAACCTTCCTAATGTAGTGTGTGAGTGGAGGGGCGGTGGACCATTGCACCAAAATGCAATTTTGCCTTTTGGTTTCAGTCGGCTGCAGGTATAAGCTTGTGGGGTCCTCTTAACCTGGGGAATATTTAATTAGCTCTGATTGTTTTTGAAAACTAGTGAAATTTTACAAAAATAAAAG